CCTGCACCACTTTGGTTTGTGCCAGCACCCCAGTTTCTCCCAGCCCGTCTGGAAGTGTCCAGGCAGGGACAGAGGGTGGCCTGGCTGTGGCCACGATGATGAAGCACCCGGTCACACTGCTGTGCCTTTGTGCTGCTGTGTGGTAGAGAAGAGAGGGGATGGATGGTGGCAGGAGCAGAGGACTTTTCCTTCTGCAGCTGGTGTCTCCATTGCTGCTGGGGCCGTTTGCCTCGGCTCTGCAGGCAAGGAAGGCTTTGCCTGGAGCAGGCAAGTGTTTCTCACCGTGACTTCAGCAAAAATCCCTGCTCAGGGATTTTTTTAATCCCTCCAGTCCGTGGAGGGAAGTGGGAGGAAGCACAGCTCCGTGCTCACTGCGAGGTGTTGCAGATGCTGGTGCTTCTCCCACCCGCTTCCTCTTCCCAGCAGGCAAACCTCACGGAGCCTGGCGCTTGCACCCCATAAATCACCCGGCCACTCATGGTCTGTTCCAAACACATCAGCTCTGGGGCCTGTGCATGGCTTGCTCATCAGGGAGCCAGAATGGGCCCCTGCTCCCCAAGAGCTTTCTAACTCAGCCCTAAGTAAGGGGGGCTCACCAGGCTGATGAGGACATGGCTGGAGCATCACCCAGTGCTGGCACAGTGGTGAAGTGCTCTGCTGTGCGGTGTCACTGCTGCTTTCAGGTCCCTGTTCTCAGCATGAACAAGCACAAACCCAGCACTGTTTCCCTGGAGAGACCACCATGGTTTGGTGGGGGCTGAAGGGGGACACATCCACTGAGGAGGAAGGAGGGGTTGGGAGCGGGGCTGTTCAGTGATGCTGCAGCTTCGCAGATCTCATCTGGCAGCGCCGTGGGAAGTGTTTCCAGATGCTTTTAAGATGCTCAATTTATCTCCTCCTCCACTCTTGGCTTGCCAAATGGCTACAGCAGCAGAACTGGCCCCACTGGGCAGCTGAGGCAGACCAGAAACAGCAGTTGCTGGGAGCTCTGGGGCAAGGGGGATTGGTTTTGATAGATTCAAGGCTGATCTTAAAAGTCAGGAAGGGAAAAATAAACTTTGTGGGGCTTTTGGGTTATTTATTTTAACCACCTGCATGTTATGCAGGGGTGGGAAATAGTAGAAGGGTGAAAAAAAATAAAGGGACAGTGGTTGAGAGCTACTCAGCACATCCCAGTGGTGTCTCGTCCATCCCACAGCCATCACTCTCTGCTGCAGGGCTTTGCAGCCCCTCGCTCCAAGGCAGACAGTGCTGGGGGTGGATTAAGTCACCTCCAGCTGCACAGAGGTGGTGGGATGTAGATCATGCCCCCACGGGGGTCCCAGCACTCTCCCACCCAGCACTGGGACAGGCAGCTCCCAAAGCTGCAGCTGCATGCATCGCTCGGGCCCTGCGATTCGGCTGCTTTTATGTTCGTTTCCCACAAATATTCCAGTTTTCTGGGCCAAAGCAGCTGGAAGTGGCTCTTGGAGCCAATTCACACAAGTTTTGTTGTCTCCCAACACTGCCCTCCCACCCCAAGCCTCAAGTACTTCTCACTGCCGTCAGTTCCAGGATGGGTGCTTGCCCCATCGCCCTGCACACTTTCCCCTGGTGAAAGTCCCCACAGCCAGGCTGGGAACACGGTGACTCACATGAAGTCTGGGACTGCAAGTGACCCAAATGCAAATTCAACAACAACAACAAAAAAAAAAATAAAAAAGAAAAAATAGGAGGTGGGAAACAACAAAAAGGACTAAAGAGTGTGTTACTCTCTGCCCTCGATGTTGCAACCACCCAGAGAAGAGGAAAGCCTTTGGCCAGGCACAGTGCTGGAGCATCCCCTGGGCACAGTGGTGTCAACAGCAGGGTCCATAGTGGCACTGTCCCCAACAAGCCAGGATTGTCCCCACCCCATCACCACACACCAGACTCTCCAAAAGGTACAGCTGCCTTATCAGCTGCCTCGAGCAGGCGAGAGTAAACAGGACATCCCACACCAGCACTGGGGTTCAGATGAAAGCAGCCTGGCCTGCGGAGTCTGCCAAGTATGCGAGAGCAGCAGGCTTTGCTTTTGTTTTCCTTTTGTTTATTAATGCCTGTATTTATTTACTTTTCAGCCCACGAGTAGGGAAAGGAGGAGGGAGAGGCTGGGAGCCTGGTGGGAGACAAACTGGAGGGCTGGTGAGCTGCCTGCCCCTGCTCCTAAAGGCTCAGTGGGGTATTTTATATTTTATTTTATTTTATTTTGATTTTTTAAAATTTTTGTTTGTATTTATTTTACATTTAAAGCCCCATCCAAGAGCTGCACCATGCCCAGCATCCCCCTTTACCTTTACCCCTGCCAGGGGCTCCTGTTCCTTGCAGCAGCATCCCGACCCCAAGCCACAGTCCCTGGCTGCCCAGTGGGCACTTAACCCACATGTCCCCGTCCTGTGTGGGGTGCAGGGCAGGGTCAGGCTCAGCGAGGGTGGCAGCACCACTGCTGGGAAGTGCCCACGCTGCCAAAACCGCAGCGTGTGAGCAATAGGAAAACTCGTGGGGCAGCAGACGGGTGTCAGAGCTTCCTGTGCCTGACACAGCTCCCTCCGCTGACCCCACACCAGGGGAGGGCTGAGGGGCACCCAGCACCCCATCCCTGGCCCCAGGCAGCTGGGGCAGGGCAGCACTGCTGTCCATCCAGCCTTCCCTTCCTGCAGGGCACTGTTTGGGGTGGCGGGGTCGGGGTGATGCTCTCCGAGGTGACACACTCAGCCAGAGCCTCACCTCACCGAGAGCTGCAGTTTTTTGATTTTTTTTTTTTTATTTTGGTGGCTGTGTGCAGGGTGAGCACAGGGAGGAGGGGTGGCTGCTTCAGCACACACCAGCTTCCTGCCAGGCTGTATTTTTAGCAGGGCCAGCCCTTGATAACCCAGAGATTCAAGCGAAACTGTGAAGTAAGTAAATGTGCCTCGAAGAGGAAAAAAAAAAAAAAAAAAAAAAAAAAAAAAAAGTGTGCAGGAAGGCGGGGAGGAGGGGATGGCACAGGTGGAAACTGGTACCGGTGGCACAAACAGGACTGGTTTGGGGAGTGGGGGGGCAGATCTTAGGCTATCGCCACAGCCCGTGGAAGCTGGGGCTTGTTTCTGGCAGGTGGATGCTCAGTGTTGGCTGAAACTGTGGTGGAGAGGGTGAGGGGAGGGCTGGGAGGGAAGGGGCTCGTCCCCCGCAGCCCCCAAGCTTCCCACGCACACGCCCGGCCGCCGGCTGTTAACAGCAGCCCGCTAACAACCGGCTCACACCTCATCCCACCGCCTCCCTCCCGGCCCTGGGCCTGGGAAAAAACAGCCCTCAGGTGCCAAAGCCTGTCCCAGCCTTTTGGGAAGGGGAAGGAGGAGAGGACCCTCACACCCTGGGATGCAAATGGCCAGCAGGATCCCAGTACCCGTGGGAAAAAAGGGATGGAGGGGCAGCCCCTCCTCGGGGCATCCCTGAGAGCTCGGCCAGAGGTGATAACATCTGCGGGGGATCAAGGGGTGTTCAGAGCAGCACATCCATAAAGAGACACCGGAGCCCGGGACCAGGTGACTGTGGTCAGCAAAAAAGCCGCTTTATTGGTGACCGCTCCCACGGGAACCCCGTGGCAGCGATCGGGTTCAGGTCCCTGAGAACACACTGTCCATGCTGGTTCCCCTTCCCACATCTATTGCTTTAAACACATCCTAGTTACAAAAAGCACAGAGTGACATTCCAGATACTGGAACATATAAATTAAGGTAAGTGATAGTTACAAGGCATCGCAATTTTTTTTTTTTTTTTTCTTTCTTAAACAGATTATCAAAGGTCAGGGATTTTTCTTTTTCTGATCCACAGAAAATGTATAAAAAGCATTTTAAAATCTACATATTTCTCAATGTGGTTTTTTTTTCTCTTAAAAAAAAAAAGGCACAGTAAAAAAAATACTGGCTCAATAACATATTTACAACACACCCATTATGGGCTATTTTCACTCAGCTTCAAGTTGGAAATGTTCAGCTCTGGCTCGGCCCAGGGGCAGAGAGAGGGATGGTATTGGCAGGCAAGGCAGCTCTCGGAGGATGCTGTGTCCCTCTCCCTCCCTGGATAAATCCCTCTCCATCAGGGAGAGCACAGTGGGGGGGTTGGGAGATGCTGCCTGCCTGTGGCAGGTGCCCAGCTGCTCAGGTGCCGCCTGGGCAGCACCCACAGCCAGGGCAAGGCTGGAGGATGCTCTGGCCCCGCCGGGAACATCCACACAGCCCCAGCCAGACCTCGAGGTGCTCCTTTGCAGAGCTGCAGGGCTGCCCCAGCCGCACTGGAGGGAGACCCTGGACAAACACGGTGCCCACTCCACTGCGGCAGTTCCAGAAAAGCCCTCCTCCCACGCCCGTATTTATAGAAAGTCTTTACACCAGTCTATAAATAGTTCACCCGCCGATGCTGCCGGCAACACTTCACCCGTGTGGGGGAAGCTCTGGGAAATGGAGTTAACACCAACATCAGCACCCAGCCCTCCCCCCTGCCTCCCTCCAGTGAGGCTGTCGAGCACCCGGCAGCTTTGCAGGACCCTGGACATGCCATGTCCAGAGGCTTCCCCTGCCCACCTCTGCCTGCTCTGCCTGCCAAGCCAGGGAGCAGAACTCACAGGGACCCCTCATCCAACCTGGGAACCGGAGCTTGGCTGCTGAGATTTTGGGACTGGGAGAGAGGATGGGGTGGGTTAAGGGAGTGGGTTGGAGGGTAGATGCAAAGGAGGGAAGAACACACCAAAAAAAAAAAACAACTTAACATTTGAAAGGAAAAAAACCCAAAAAACAAAAAAACCAAGGAGAAGCAAGCCCGGGGTGGGGCAGGGCCCCGCGCTGCGGCCGCTCCCCACGCATGGCG